AGAAGTAGAAAAGTTTCCTGTCTCAGGAACCTCAGTAGTTTATGCTCTGCATCAGCAACGAATCATATCATATGTATAGTTGTTTGCTGGTGTTGTGTCTATGTTCGACATCTTTACACATTCACGTAATGTTATGGCAATGAAACAAAAAGGGGGTCAAAGGTGAAATAAACCGTAGGCCCCGTCTCCTGCAGGGTTAGGGGTAGGAGACGTTAATTTCCCACGCACGAGATTACTGTGTGGTGGATGTCCTCCCCTGGGGTGGGGTGGGATGGGTGGGTTTACTGGGCCCGCAGTAATTGGCGCAAGCAGTTGCGGTGTCCCTGCCTGTCGGCGAATCTTATAAATTAAACTGAAACCGAATAATATTTATTTCCTGTTTTAAGGCCTGGGTTATTCGGCAATATTGGCAAACGATGACAATTACCTTGGATCCCTGAGCAGTTGGTTAAGCCCTGTGGTGCAGAGCCAGTCCTCATACTGGAAGCGCTGCTGGAGAGCATCAGTGGATGGTTGGGCTGCCTCTACCTTCCACTCATTGTGTGACAGCAAAGGGCCAACAGTGACCATTGTCCGTGTGGGAAAATACATATTTGGTGGATAGAACAGCTTATCATGGAGTAAGTGCATGACCTATTGAATTTGCTTGCCTTTCCTCCTCGATTAAATTAAAATCTACGAGCGCATCTGGTTTCTAGCATAAAAAAAAAGCAGACAAACAAACAAACAAACGATCAAATAAAACAAAACAAAACAAAAAAGTACAATGGGGTGCATGGCATATTAGATCAGGAATACTGAACTGTGTCTCATAACTGTGTCTTATTAGTAATAAAAGCTAATCATGCCGTTATTTTCGAATGCCTTTTAAGTTCACCTTTTCAACGAGTATCTATTTCTGCATAATTGTGAAAAACAAACTGCCGCCAGATGAATTATTTGATTCATCAGTTACTAGAGCACAACGTGAGCGATGCGCGAAAGAAGCGAGGGATACGTTCAAACAGGACCTGTACAAAGTTTCAACCAAGGATAGTGAATTTAAAAATTTCTAAATTTTGAAGAAAGTAAAAGGCAACCGAAGCTTCTAATGTCATTTTAGGGATTGTTTTCCTCCGGGATTCCTAGGGCCAAATAGGGTGAGGTTCGATATTCCACCTCTGGGTCCATTCTCGATATTTTCAGGCAAACGGTCGTGGGAAGATTTCCATTTTACATGATATTTGCGAATGTTTTACTGCGATTGTGTCAATGAGTCAAGAAATATGATTTGAAAATAAACGCGCACCGTCCTCGAATAAACGCTCCCTATGAATACAGGCGCTAAATATAAACGCTAAAAATTGAATTAACGGCGTTAATCGGGTAGAGATATTTAGAATGATATTGATGATGATTCGTGGCCTAATATGATATCCTTTGCACACGCTGATATAGAATAAAATTCTCTAAATTTCATTAGCGTCTCTTAAAATTTGAAATACAGATGTGAAGCGATCATTGGTTTAATTGAAGCATCATCTCCTAAAAGCAAGTCATCGATTCCACAATGCATTATCGCTGACGGAGTTCATCATACAAATCCACGGTCAATCGCTTCTGCCCTGAACTCTCATTCTCTTTCAATAGGACAGATTTTAGCTAAAAAAATATCATTTGTAGCTCAATTGATGGTCACTCTAGATTGTTCCAATTACATGAAATTCGCGGAGCGGTTGTCCATAAGCAATTACTAGGCCTCAAGGCAAATTGGACAATACTAGTGCAAGGCTTTCAAGTGTGGCGCCCTTTCAATTACTTGTCTCATCTCAAAGTTAATTAATCTGTTTATGCGAACAATGAAGTTTCCGAGGATATGGAAGTTAGCCCAGTTAGCCCAGTTGGCCTAATGGATAGTGCGCTGGACTGTTGAGCGGGAGGTTGAGGGTTCGAGCCCCTGGCGGACTAACACTCAAGGTCTTAAAATAATTGAGAAGAGTTTGCTACCTTTTTGTAACATCGAGTAATGGTTAGATATTCTAGTCTTCTCGGATATGGACGAATAAATGGAGGTCCCGTCTCCTGCAGGGTTGGGGTAGGAGACGTTAATTTCCCACGCACGAGATTACTGTGTGATGGATGTCCTCCCCTGGGGTGGGATGGTTGGGTTTACTGGGCACGCAGTAATTGGCGCAAGCTGTTGCGGTGTCCCTGCCTGTCGGCGAAGCTAATAAACTAAAATAAACTAAACTAAGCTAAATAAACTAAGTGCTCTAGAGTGACAGCTTTATTCAGATCAGGAACAAGCCCAACAAATCGTCGCCTATTTCAATTCTACGCTCTCTCAGCAATGATCTTAGAAAGGGTAATCCTCTCTCAGCTGTACGAATACCTGCATTCAAATAATTTACTTTCAAACAAGCCATTTGGTTTTCGTTGTAAACGTTTAACAGCCACTGCATTCTCTGGCTTTGCCGATGAGGTCTTGTTAAACTTGGAAAAGGGAACTTTTGTGTTGCTGTATTTCTGGGTCTTACAAAGGCGTTCGATACAGTCAATCATGGGATCTTGATGTTCAGATTGTCCCCCGGTGTCTGTACTGGTTTTCTCAGTATCTAAGTAATCGGAATCAGCAAACCTCTTGTGAAAATAAATTATCCGAAGCCCATCCCGTTACTTTCGGAGTTCCACAAGGAAGCATCTTGGGACCGTTATTGTTCTCTGTGTATATCAACGAGCTACCTACTGCTATTGAACACCCCGAGGTATGATTGTACGCTGACGAAACCGTTCTTTTACTGCTTCGAAAAAAAACCTCGCGAGCTGGAAAGCAAGTTGAATCTGATGCAGACTTCTACAACGTAGCATTGTGGCTAAAAGCGAACAAACTTACCTTGAACCTTTCTAAGACCAAATCCCGGTTGATTGGAAGCAATAGAATTTTATTTCATATTTCCTCATCGTCTCTATCTACTTTTGATTGTGAGTTTGACAGCGTAAATAGGTCTAAGTATTGAGGAGTTATGTTGTTCTCAGACTTCATGTAGTCAGATCATGTAGAGTATGTAATTTCTAAAGTTAATAAACGGCTCGTTCCTGAACAGACCACTTTATTCGTCAGCTACTTATGCCCTCGTAACTTTAAAGTGGCTCAACCTTGAACAACGTAGATTTTATTATCGCTATATCAGTATGGTTATAAGTGTATTAATGGCCTCATGAATCACTCAATAGAGCCACTAGCCGACAGGGACGTTCATAACTATAACACAAAAAATAGGATTATACTTAGACTAACCCTTGCAACCAAAAATTGGGGTAAACAGAGTGTGTTATCACTCACCGAAAGATTGGAACAACCTAGATAAAGTCATTAGAAATGCCGCTGCACCTGCACCAATCTAAGTTCGGACCTTTCTGGACACCACAGTGACGTGATGAAAGTTTCCTAATCGAAGATTATACGTGTTTGCTCCCTTAAAAGGAAGCGACAGTTGAATAACATTTTGAATTATTTACTTATCATTCAGCTTCTAGTTGTGGATACCAGTACACTTCGAGCAGCTTTTTGTTCTCATTGGTTAACAAGCCAGGCAAGGGACCAGTGAAATTGACCCAACAAGGGCAGCATAGTAACTACCGGAGTTACTCCATATACAGTTGTTCTAGCCATGGACCCACATTTGGTGCAGCACACGATATTTACATTTCCGACTACGCCTCATCCAAACCAAATTCTTACTCAAACCCTGGATACACCTACAGTCCACCATCTGGCCACAGTCCTGGCAGCTCCTTCACGCGATCATTCCTGGCGGGAAGTTACAACTTTCAACCCGATGAGGTTGAAGTGTTTTACGAAACTACTTAACACAGACCTGTTGAATCAAGTGTCATAAAAAATTCGAACAGGATTTAGAAAACTAAAAACGTTAATTCATCATTTTGAAGGCTTGTTACGTAAAGAAGACATTATAAACAGCGTGAAAAGTTACACAAGTAAAAAAATATTTCATAAAAAGTTCCTATTTAACGTTAAATCGTGAGCCCCCAAAAAACACTGCCTAATTTCTGACGCTGGATCTGCGTAACACATCCTGTTTATTACGCTCGATTTGCGTAAATTTTCCTGTTTGTGGGTGATTTTGCTGTTCACACCCCAATTTGAACGTCACTTGCTCTTTAAAATTCTTTTATAAGTAGGTCATTGGTAAATCTTGTCCAAATCCCTGTTGACGTCTGTTTGACCAGACGAAACCGGTCGGATAAATAAACAAAGTTGACAAGATCTGTTGCTGCATGCTGCTCACTGGTTTTTATTTAAGAAAAGGTCAACTGTTCGCTGAATCAAAGACGCACAGTACAACGGCTCGAGAAATCGGCTTCTAAAACTCTGCCATGGGGGTAAACTATCTAGCCTCATCAATATTTAGTTGGAAATCACTCCAGAAAAAAGGAAGTGCAGTGGTATCCTGCCGCCCTCACCGACCTAATGAGTGCGACTCCATGAAATATGAAATCGACAAAAGTTAAAATCGACATCCTCAGCAGCCGGCTTACATCATTAGCAAACGAAGTACAAGAATGCACTTAATAAACGAATTTATCACGTTAAAAGTCTCGGACAAATTATGCTTCACTAACGAAAATTTATTAGGGCTGAAAACTTATTTCATTCCCAAGAATGCTGTCCCCTTGGTCTCGCTAGAAAAACACCTGACGCACCATAGAGAAATATTTAATCGAAACAAAACAAGACATCTGCCCATTTCATATCATTTACCATAATTGTTAGTTTGATTATTTTGCGTTACGCTGAATGGTTGAAAAGTGTTGAATTTCCGGTCATGAACTGTTGAGCAGATCTTTCACAAGAGTAGTACATCCTCCAGCTTCAACAAAACCATCAAATATTGGTTCAGTAAAATGGAAAAAAAATTAAAGTGACAATAATGGGCCAAGAAGCAACAACAAATTGTTAAGCTTGTAAAAACTACGGAGAAGAGCTAGCGTTTGACTCGGAAACTGATTCAGTTATAAATTTTTAGCTCAAAAGTAAATATTGATTTTTGCTATGAATGGACACCAGATGTGATTTACCAGTGGCACGTGTACGGAATGTTTATCAGTTTTTTCAGGATACTATGTTAAGGGTATCAAGGTGAGGTTAACTGATCAACTGATCTAAACGTTTGTAGTTATTTTGGAAATTTTTCAAAACTTATCTCAAAGAGCGGGTAGTGAGATCAAAAGTGCAAATTAAGAAGATAGCAAATCTTTTCCTTGTCACCTTTTTATATGATCACCTTCGTATTTTCTTCGCGATAAACCCCAATCCCTTTCCAAGTTACTTTTCTTTCCCTTTACATTAAAAATCTGTAGGATTTATTCTAAGACTCCTGGAAGTTTAGCACGGCTTTTTATACGAGGCCAAGGGTAAACCCTTGAAAATGTGAAAACATTGAACAAGGTACAAGACTTTCGTTTGTAACTTTCTCAGGAAAAATTACAAATTTGAGATGAACATTAAGAAAGTGGCGCAGAGCTATTTACTGATTTTAATCCAATAACAACCTTTCACTCAGTCGAGCTAGTAAATGTTTTCAATGTTTGGTTTTTCGTCAGTGGCAAGTCTCAACCTGTATCCCTCGAACATATTAGTAGATCTATTTTAAAGCTATTTTTGGTGAAATGAACCCTCTCTCCCCATCTTATCTTCCTCTAGTAAACCGGATACTTTTGTGAGAGTCGGGGCAAATTTAAGCTAATCAAAACATTGTTTTATTTACTGAAATGAGAAGAATTAATTCGTTGCTGGGTATGTTTCAACACGTCGATGAAGGTCCAGTAATCAATATTCAAACACGTCCCCTTTTCGAAATTCTTCAAATTGTGGATCGCATTCATTATACGAGAGTTACAGCTTTATCTGATAACGTAAAGAAGATGAATATTTTCTAAAGATATCTCCATAAGCGAAAA